AAATAAAGAAGAATAATATTGAATAATCTTATTATTTTTTTCGATTAATAATACAAAGAAAAAGATGATTGATTACTATATATGAAAAGATTAATTTTGAATGAACCATCATGAGAGAGGAATGATTATGATTATTGATTGGATAGATAAATTAACTAATAGAAATAGACTTATCAAACTTCTTCAAAAGCATTCGATATGGAGAGAGAGAATTGAATAGTTTGTAGTAAATTTCTTTCTTCAGTATGTTTTTTCCCTAAAAGATTTTAAAGATCATTTTCTTTTTTGTAGAAAACGATATTTCTTTTTTTCTATGGATTTATATTGGGTAAAGATTGGAAAAATGAAATAAAACCACTAATTAGAAAATGTGGTTTCTACGCTTGAATAATTGTGTGTTAAACGATGGATGACATTTTAATTTTTAACTTAAACAACCGAATTTTCATAAAAGTCTGGCGTGAAAGTAAATTCGTATAATTTATTTATTTGTCAAGTCTAATAATTTAGACTACCAATACAGATGATAGCTCTTCGAAAGAATTCAACAATAAGATTTGTAATATATAAATGATGGACTGAATAGATTTTTGAAGTTACAAATAGGAACATAAGAGAACTATCTATTTATATGTCTTCTATTGGAAATAGAAAAGGATTATATCAAGTCTCAATTGTTCAACTCGGGGATATTCCGAGGTCGGCAAGAGTGAGGGGAGAGTATCGAGCAGGTTTTTGAGAATTGGTGAATAAAAAACGAATAAAACGTTATAACTTCATTGGGATAAATTAAAAATTTCTCAACGAATTATGAGATCAGGTGGATATGATTTTTCATTTCGATTAAAAAACAAAAATTTCGGTATTTAGCAATGATAAGAAGATAAATTTGTTGTATGATTATTTCGAAATCTATTCATTAATAAATTCAATTAATATGTAGAAATAAATTGAAACAGTTTGCTTTATATTTCTAACATGAATCACAACGTATTGATGAAGTTATTAACAAGAATAAAAATGTTCAACATGACGAATCTTGTAAATAATTCTTCAACTATTATATAAAAGAAATATATTGAGCATGTAAAAGTATGTTATTTAATGCCGATATCTATGTTATCGACAGATGTTTATCTTTATTTATCAAATTATTGTAACGTCAGGATTTTCTTTAAAACAATTCAGTTCACAACATATTCATCAAGTCAATCAGAAAAAGTAACTATTCCGATTTTTATATACGTCAAATAGAAAGAATTCGATAGTTTTACTTGTTTTTCACGGCAATCTATGATTCTATTTCATTAACAGCTAGAATCAACTTGGATAAGTTCTGTTTTAGTTTATTTTGTTCTGTATAGATCAATTCTTCTTTTTTTTATTCATCGCTTGAAATCGAAGATTACTTCATCAGTAATGCTAAATAAATGTTGAAATTTTCCAGTATTTTCAATCAGTAATTGCAGAAGTTCTGAAAAATGTCGTATAACAAAATCAAAAATATCATCTTTTGAGTTCGAATTTCTTTCATGTTAATAAGAAATTATTTTTGCATCGAAGTTATCGATAAAAGTTTATCTAGCTGGTTCTTTAAGAGAATTTCTCCCTCAGAATCGATTTACCACTTAGAACGGATCGTTTGGACTAAAACTTACAGGAATGAGTGGTTCTAGTGAGAAACATTTTATGGTAAAAATTTCAGTCTGATATGTCATACTAGATCGAACTTCCAGCTTGTTTATATGATTTCCTGGAGAATCATTATAACTTCGTCATTATAAGAGGTAAAGAGCTTGAGCTGGTTTCAAATTACAGCTAACTTTTGTTCGAACAGAATTTCGAAGTTCTCTTTCTTTCATTTTTTATGAGCATTTTAATAGACATAATGTTCAAAAAGGCACAAAAAAGAGGTAATCCTCATGACATTCAATTCCAGATAAAATCATACTACAATTGCATATTTTTAATACATTTCACTGAAATGTTTTGAAGCACGTCACAGATGAAAATAGTTGATGCCATCTTTCATGTTAGTTTATATAAAAATGTTCTATTCGATGCTAATGCAAGTGACAACGGAGTTTTTCCAAAACAGAAAAAAATCTTAAAAAAAACACGAAAATTTCCCCAAAAAACATAATAGTAGAGTTGAAGTCTTCTGTGATAAGTCTGTTAGACTCTAATTGTTTTGGGAAAAAAAACATATATATTCTGAAAGAGGAAGCTTCGATGTATCCTCCTATGACAAAAATTCGATTTCGACATTTTTTTTGAAAAAATGGATTTTCTGAGGTGGATTCTCTTAAATTCAGCTGTATTTGGTATGCCAGATTTTTTTAATTCTCTATATAGTTTGAACGAACTTTAGTTTGCTTGACGAGAATGAATATTTTTCAAAGTATTCGAAAAACATTTTTATTTTTGTTACGTGTTAAGCCTTCTTTATTTACTTTTCGAAACGAATAAGTCTAGTAAAATTTTTAGAAGAAAATTTGATTGCATATCTTCTAGAAAAATATATGCGTCACAAGGTTGAAAATAAAAACAAGTTATAGTTCATTTATTTCTAAAAACCTTTGTTTTGATTATTTCAAATATAAATCGTATCTTTTTTCTAGCAGAGAAGAATTTGTTTAGAACAGTCTAAACAAAATAATGATGCAAGCTCGTCATGAACTATGTGTATAATCTTGATAATCCATTAAACAATGTTCGATGCTAGATTTCATACATCTTATATTCCTATAATTAATGTTCTTAATGATTGAAAACTATGGTAATGCTATTTTTTATCTGAAATAAAAAAGAAAAAATTTAATATATATATATACTGAGATTAACAATTGGATTTACATGATTGTTTATATAAAAAATAAAAAAAACAGTTATGAAATAGAATACTTATTATTTCTTGTCGATTGATATAAAACTATTAATCTTACTTTTACTTTATCATAGATCGAACGTCATGTAACGTGAGGTTGTAAGATTTGAATTACCTAAATCATAGGTTTTTTGTTTTTTTCGATTCTGTTTAAGCGTGCCAAATTTACTTAATTCATCTTCAATTTCTTAATCATCATAAACTAATATGAAATTAATTAAAATACAACATTACTTTCGATAGAAAAAGTAATGTATGTAGGTATCCTTTCTATTAGATGTCAAGTAAACATTTTTTTTTTTCTCATAGTTATCTTTTTATAAAATATCAATTTATATCAACGTCAAAGAATCATCATCATTTGTCTAGAATTGAATCTATTTGTAGAAAAAATTAAATATTTATAAATATATAAAAACAAAAAATGACTCCGAGTACAATATCGAAATTATTGATCAATTTGATTATACTCATATAGTTGTTAAGCTTTAATAAATATTTTATATAAATAAAAAAATATTGTATATCGTCTAGTTGAGGAATAATTATTATTTGTATAATGTTTATGGTTTTATTTTTCTCTACATATGCAAATTTATGTCACAACGAATAATTTTAAATGTCATTTCTTATCAAATATGAGGTAAGTATACCTTTTTTATATTAACTTTTTTGATTGGTTAAGTTATTTTTTATGAAGATTGATTATTATTTGATGTATACATCAACATTATCATGTATCATGTATGAAAATATTTTTGTATACAATATTACAATACATTGTATATGATAAGTATTTAGAAAAAAAAATATTCGGATATTTACATCGTAGCTCGATGATAAATAAAGAAATATTCTAATTTTAGCTAACCTTAACTAAAAATTTAGCTTAGTTCTAACGATTAATCATTCAATCGATATTGTGACATTGAATGTAGGTTAAAAATACAATCATATAAAAAAAAAATCATTTTTTTTCCGTAGCTTTGTTAACTGTGCTAAATTACCATTGGTCTGATACCACCGGAACGAAAAAAATAAAACCCTGTCTAGCATCAATTGAGATGGATATTTTTTTTTTGCAGGGTGATAATGATCAATCAAGGCGATACAATCATATGAAGATATTACATTCGCTTTTTTTCTCATAAGTAACTAAAACATAGAGTAACAAGTGCATAAAGTGAGCTTGTGAAAGTGCATTTCAATAATTATAAATATTCTTCTACATATGCATTGTTTTTGCGTAGGTAGCAATGATGAATATATATCTTTTTAGTTTATATAGATATGTATGCTATGTCATTGATTGCAAATAATAATGACAGAAAAAAAGAAGAAAAAGAATAGATAAACGACTGTCTATTTCGAACAAATACGTTATTAGATATGTCTTGTGACGAAAAAATGATAGATAGTATTTGGCACAGTATTTAATAAAAGAATAGATAGACTTATAAATAGATTGGTAACTCTTTTCATCGAATATACAATTGAAGACAGGTCGAAGGAGAAGAAGCGACATATCAACCGAAAAAAAAAAAAAAACAAATATTTTAGGTTGATGAAAGGGAAAAGAAAAAGAAAGAGAAAGTAAAAGGCAGTCTATGTTTATTTTTTATAGTCGTCGCTTATATGAAAGAGAAAAAAAAAAGAAAGTAATCAATGTTATAGGACAACGATAATCATAATTTTATTCGTTTTTCTTCTCCATTTTTCTACCTATTTGCATTCTCTTTTTTTCTCAATAACGTCCCTGATGTAATTATATGTATGTGGTCAGATTTATATTTCGTGTATGTACATGTACGTTTAGCAAAGAAAAGAGTAAAAGAGAGAAAATGAGAGATGCGTAATGATAAAGATATAGTATTAAATTGAAGTGCACACCCGTTTTTCTCTCCCTCTCTCTCTCCTTCTCACTCACACAAAATATACATATTCTTTTCTATCCTTTTCCTACTACGCAAAGAAAACAAGCGACAGCGTTGATGACACTCTCATGCTAATCGAGCGTTGATTGAAGCATTTCTACTATTGTAACTATCACTACTTTTACTATATCATAAAGAGACACAACCAACCAAAAGCACTATCAAAACCACCAAAATCGATGGCTAAGAAATCTAAAGATACCGCAACTGCTGCTAAGAAACAAGCAAAAGTAAAAGGTCCTGTAGATCCAGTCAAGACCAGAAATCTTATTCGTTTATTAAATATTCTTGCTTTATTATTAGCTATAGCTGCTTTTCTACTTCAATTATTTGCTGTCATTTCTCATAATTGGAAATGGCAAAAAACCGATCTTCGTTCAATAGTGTCACCAAATTTACCTCATTCGCAATTAAATATTCCCGAAGATAGTCGATTAGATCAACGTTATGGTCTATATTCACGTGAAGTTAAAGTTTCTGCTAATAATGATGAACAAGTTGATTTATGGGCAAGTACACGTTTTCCAAGACTTGATGAAGGTGATGAACATTTACAATATTGTTTATCTCAAACATCAAGTCTTCGTGGCGCATTCCTTACTTGTGCGAAAAATATTCTTTCACCAGGTCAATGTCATTGTCGACGACATCCCTATTGGAATTTTGTTATTTTCTTTGAAATTCTTGCATTAGTTTTACTTGGTATTGTTGTATTTCTTACAGCTTTACTTTCAACACATCTTCAAGCTTTACTTAAACTAGCTGCAGCTGGTTTAGCATTACTTGCTTTTCTTGTTTTATTAATTGGTCTTATATTAATTCTTAGCCATCTTAAACGTGAAACACGTTCATTTGCTGATGCATATCCATATATATTTCAGCGACTTGCTCATACACTTGGTATTAGTCAACGTACACAACGAGTTTCACGAGATAATCCAACTGTACTTCGCCAAGCTATTCGTCGTCAAGCAAAGGAAACTTATCGAGCATATCCTTTACCATCTAATCAATATCCATATAATCAGACACATTATCTAGAATATTCAGAACAAGCACGTGGATGGGTTTATAGACCATATGTAGTTACTCAACCTCGTACTTATGAAACATTGCCACCAGCTCGAGTTGCTTATACAGTTAATCCAAAAATTGAGGAAACTACTGCATCACCATATGAAGGACTTCAGCCGTTACTGAGTTATGATGGAGTTTTTGACAATACACGTGCTGGTATTGGTTGGTCAACTGTTTTATCAATTCTTGCTATGATTCTTTCATTACTTTTACCATTAATTCTTATTTTTTCATGGCTTACAGGTAAAAAATTAGCACCAGATGGGAAAAAAACTACAACAACTGTTAAAACTGAATATGTAACTCTACCACAAGAAGTTATTGTTGAAACAACACCATTAAGATCAATTCCTACTGATTATGATCCTCGTCGTCCAATTGGTGAAGCTGTTGTAACAACACAAAATGTACGTCCAGGACAATTTGAGACTTATACTGGTCGACCTGAACCTGTTGTCGTACGTGATGTCATCATTCGTGATGATCAACCAGTAGCACATGTTACAGAAGAACATGCTTTTCCGGTTCATGTTGACACAACTCATACATCGTATGCTTAAAGAAATAAACAATATTATTTCTTGCACTTATCGAACAGTATTTAGACTAGAAAAAAACGAAATTTCGTTTAATTTTATGTATCTTCGTTTTTCTTTTTTTTTTCTTCTTTTTAGCATAGACCTTCATCTAACAGGTACTGTATTTTATCTTCATATTTCTTTTCTTTTCTTTTCTTTCTTTTTTTTTTATTAAATATTAAATAAATTTTCACTTTCTTTTTTTATTATATTCAATTGATTGTATCAGTGATTTGATAATTTTCATTAACAATAAGTTTAGAATAAACAAAAAAACATTCTTTAGATATTAATAGTAATCGATTTGAATGAAAAAAAAGAAAAAGAAAAGACACTCTGAATAACCAATATCTAAGTCATGAACTGTCTAATATATTTAGAAAGCAAAAAAAAACAATCCTCTAGTACTTATAAAACAACGTTAAAAATTATGAGTCTATCAAATATAATAAGTACTTAAATGAATCGTGAAAGAAGTTTAAATCTGTGAATATAAAAATATAAATTTATGATTTTTTATAAGTGACATTTTAAAGTCTGGCAGTCGATAGATCATATTGAATAATTGAATTTAACGTTCAATAACTATTATGTGAGTAAAATCTATATACTACGTATGACATATATCTTTACTTTTCCTTTTCAATGCGTTAATTTATCTGTCTGTCTGTCTACCTACCTACCTAGTAAGATTGAAAGATATCGAGATCGATTGAGTCGTGAACATACACGCGTCATGATCGATGTGTATGTGTCGCTGTTGTGAACATGATAAGCAAAGAACAAAATAGACATGATGATAGATGATCATTTCAAAATAAATATTATATTTTAATCGATTTTTTTAATATTACAAATAAATACATTACCAAGTAGAAAAATTCAAATTATATATTTTTCTTTGGAATATGTTCAAATTTCGGAAAATGAAAATTGCTCAAATTTCTGAAATTTATAATATTTTGAAAAGTTCACAGCAAGACAAAATAATGAGTCTAAGAAAGTTTGAAAATTTCGAATATTTCAAAAAGTAGATTAAATAAAATTCTTAAATTTTCTTTTCTTTTAAAATTTGAATATTGTTGACGTATCAAGATTAATCCACATATCAAATCTTTATTTTTACTCAAAGAGAAAATGCTTTCTTTTTTGTTTAATTTTATTCTGTGAAAGTAGTTGCGTAGTGTCTGGCTATTCAATTGATATCTAAATAATAAAACTATTTGCCTTCAGCCTGTCTGCAGGTGACGCATTCGCCCATTGTCGACCTTCGGGTTGTCATAACACAATTACGTAATACGACAAAGAGCTAATACTTGCATCGGCAGAAAGAACTATGAAAGTTCCAGCTAAACTAACATTTTTATTTCATCTGCTTGAACTGTGACAAATTTACAAGAATAGGACGTTGTGATAACACACTCATCCAAAAGAATTCCTTTTATTAAATCTATTAAAAAAAAAAGTTCACATTTCTGGAAATTATCTCACTCTGAACAAAACACTTTTATTTGTATTTATAACTAAGATAAAAAATCGTATGATAGTGAAATTTGTTTATTCCTGGAAAGAGTTATCATTAAAACATTACGGTAACTCACTCAGCAACATATCTTTTTTGTTTTTAGACTCACTAAAAAAGAATAATTTTGACAACAACAACAACAAATGAGATGATCCACTAATGTCAAACTGTAGTATAACTTTCGATGATCCTACTATTATTTTCATTTTTAAAAATGGTATAGTAGTATTCGACATGTGATAAAAGACAATAAGACCTTCATTTTTTTCAAGATCTTTGCACAAAAAATGCTTGATTTCGGCTGATAATTACCATTTATTTTCGTCATTATTCAAAACAACTGACATGTATCAATGTAGCATTTATGAACAACCAAAAAAAAATTCAACTGAATAAATTCAATTATTTTGTGTTCAAGAAATCTTCTGCTCAAAGTCTTTTTTAGCAGGACAGATTGTCTTTTTTTATTTTTTTTTAATCTAAAAATTAAATTATGTACATAAAACAATAAGAAAAATAGCGAACTATTAATAACATGTATATCTGACGTGAAAATTTAACTGCTGATATTTTCTATTTATTATATTGCACAAAAACTTTCTTTTAATGAAAATCAATATTGATAACAACAAATAGAACATTTTGTCGATTGATAAGTATGAAATTCAATATCATCGGCATCATAATTGTCATTATTATGATTAAGTAAAGTATTGTTAATATTATTTCGACTCGAATTATTATCTTCACGAAATAATTTTAATTCTTCACGTAATTCATTTTTTGTTAATTTATGTATAGGTGAAATAAAATCATCGTCACTAGAAAGAAAGAAAGAAAGGTTTTGTTGTTGTTGTTGTTTATCAATAAGTTAGAGCATGTGATTAAAGAAGAAATGATATACGTATATAGTCTCTATGCAATGAATGAAAGTATTTATCATATAAATATGTATTTATAGAAAGTAGCAATTATCAGATCTATTATGAATCGAATCTATTTTGTATATCTTCTCTTGTGAAAAAAATTTAGATATTTAATTAATTTAGTTCGTTCGTCTAAAGCTAATTGAAACATTAGGTTGTTTTTAACGAAAATTCAACAAAAAATTATTCGATTTAACAAAATATGTAACAGTTATATTTCGAAAAAAAAATCCTTAAAATAATATTCATTATTTTGAAACTCTATTTTCTATTCTTCAATATTTAATCTCTTGTGAACAAAGTTTTTTTTTTGCTAGGCAGAACTGATACAATGTGCATTGTCAAGTGTTTAACTTCACTCATAAAAATTCAAAAGTATTTAGCTAGGATCTTTCAAGAGTCTATATTCATAATATTCTTTACCTCTGAAATCAAATCTATTACATAAGTATTGAATTCAAAAGAATAAAGAACTATATATTTTTTCTTTCTAAACAATTTTTCATATTCTACACTTCGATTTATTGTAATTGTTTCTTTTTAGAAGGTATATTTTATATTTTTGTACTTGAACACTATACAATGGTTTGTCTTCTTCGACGCTATATCGATGAAGCAAATAAAATTTGAGAAAAATTTCGCACATTATATTTCAATTCTAATTGCAATTTACACATCTATGATATTCAATAAATCAAAAATGATAAGAAACAATTTATCACTTCAAAAAAGTAGCGATTTTAGCACCTAAGGGCAATCTTTATTATACTTTAAAACAAATTATTAAATTCGAATTCTAAAATAAAATTAAACGAAACCAAAAACATGAAGACTAACTCGGAATTATCATTATCACTGATTGTTACTAATGGTTGATAAGATAGATCATCATTTGATTGAATTTGTATTTGAAGAATTCTGAATTTATATATAACTATATATATATATATATAAATCAATAAAAATAAATAAATGATTTACTTTAATCCAGATGAAATTTGAATCGGATTCGATCAAGTAAGATGTTGTACTAGATTCAGTTTATTTGGTTTTAATGGATGATTTTTAACTAGTAGATTTAATGTCAATATAGAAAATATTTATTTCTTACAAAGAAAATTTATACTATTTTGATTTGAAGTTTCTCGAATGGGTTGATTTGTCACAGCTTTTAATACCTTAAAAGAAAATAATCAATTCATGGCTTTTTGCTTTTGTTTCAAAAAGTTAAACATACATTTCGATTAACAATTGAATTATTCATACGAAGAAGAAAAAATTGGTTTATCGATATAAAACATCAGTTTAAAATATAATACAAATATCGATCTCGATTTTAATTGGTTTATTGAATATCCAATGAATTTTTTTTGATTGATTAGAGGTCTTTACTATGGTAAAAACTTGTTATAATGGTTTTTCAATCAAAAAAAGAAGAAGAAGAAGAATTGATTTCACATTGGAAATCGATATTATTAATTACTATTTATTATTGAATAGTATTATGTTAGTCGTTTCACCGGTGGTTTCTTCATCTTCTCCTTCACCAGAACAAAAGCCCAATGAATTATTTCCAAAATGTATACGAACAAGACAAGTTACTTATCCATGTAAGAATTTTGTTAAAATTCAAATAACAAAACTAATTGTGATTCTAGTTTCCAATGTGACATCATCTCAATCAACACTCGATTATCATGAATTAAGACGTTTACAAGAAATTTCAAATGATTCTGATGATAGGTATTTCAACAAAATAAATATAAAAATGATTAATTATTGTATTTTATTATAGAGAAGAAGCACATCATATGTTTATGAAACAATATGTATCAGTATTAAAACCTGAACCGAAGAGATTTTGGACAGCTCGGTAAACGTATATTAGAATAGAAAGATATAAGTGAAAATCTGTAGACTTAAATCTTTTTTTTTATTCCACATTGATTCGTTTCCATAGATTAAAATGGAACTGGGTCTAGAATCGAATATTATCGCACAAGGAAAGTTCCCTAACTGATTAATCACTTTTGAGATGGGACTATGTAAATCATGTAGATTCTAATGAACTATGAATATTTTGAAAAGCGTCCGAGCCTTTAGTTGATTGCTGCTAAGATACTTCATTTTTACGGTATGTGTTAACTGAAGACTATAGTTCCCTTCAGGAACATCAGGAAAGCTGACTTTTGAGTTTTGACTTAAAACATTGTGCGGAGATAGTCCTTAATGAAAATAGTTTATTATAGCAGTGTTAGGTCTTTTTATTTGTTTGTATCCTGAAATAAGAACATCGGAATCTGTCTATGTATATATAAGTGATGTAAAAGATACACATTATCATAGCTGTATTTTAGGATAGGAATAACGAGAAGATCTCAAAGTTTCACAATAAAGTATTTTTATTAAGGCTTGTCTCCGTATAAAGTTTCAATTCGAAACTCGAAAATCAGCTTTTTTCCGATGTTCCTGATGGCGACCATGGCACTCACTTAAAAATATATCCAAAAAATACAGTATCTTCGCAGCAACCAGTTAAGGGTTTGTTCTGTTTTCAAGACATTCATAGCTTATTACGGTTTACATGATGCGCATAGTCCGAACTCAAAAGCGATTATTCAGTTAGGAGACTTCCCTTGTAAGTTCATTTTGATAATTTTCCTTTCTTCTTACAGCAGATGTCCTTAGGTTTAAAGTTGCAATAAGTAAAAATTTTTCAAGATAATGCGATTATATTGTAAATCATTTTGATACACGCATGATAACTATACACAGCATTATGAAGTTGTATCAGTAAAAACGAATAAATGTGCATCGAAACGTAGACATTTAGTTGTGATTGTTCATAAAAATTTAACAGAAATATCTAATATATTTCTCTAACCGGACCTAGAATTTGAACTAAATTGTATTCGGATATAAGCAAATTTTCAATGCAATAGATTTAGCATTTCATTACTTATGTCTATCAGTCTTAGTATTATTTAGAAGTAAAACCAGTCGAACAGAAATGAATGAAGTATCACCAAGTTCGATGGGAATTCAATCATCTTCATTATCTTCATCACAAATGTCAACACGACGATCTCGAAAAGAGATAACACCATTTCAACGAGATATACAAATACTTCGTCGACTTTTAAGAAAATTGTAGAAGAATTTTTCAATATTATTTTTTGTATTCAAAAAACAATTTTTAATTAGACATATTCAACGAACAAATACTGAACATGAACAAATTTTTCAAATAATGACTCAATTTCCTCAATTTTTAGCACTTGATCAACGATCTAATTTACTTAGACAAGCTATTGAAATAGCTCATTTGGAAATATGCGAAGACAAGCGACAACCAGGTTTTTTTTCTAAAGTTTCTTTTTTTTATTTTGGACATTATCGAATCCTTCTATAGTAATACCTTCCAATGGTTTCTTTTTGATTTTGAAAGGTGGTGTTACTTCACCACCAATTACTTCTCAATTTCCACCACTAGCATCACAAATACCAATGGGAACAGTATGTATGACAATTTGAATAAGATAAATTCGATAATTTTTGCTTTTAGCTTACAGTGGGACAATGTTTCGGCTCATTAAAACCATCACCAGAAGGCCAATTAAAGTAGAAATTTATATTCGAAGCATTTTGATCTTTTCTCTATTTTTTTTTTGGTTTCTTTTGAAGATCTCCATGGTATATAACAATGGAAGAAAATTGTGAGTTTCTTAAAATTGATAAAGATGAATTTGCAACAATTAAAACAGTAATTTTACGAAATTGAATAGATAAATGAATTTTATTATTTTTATTTATTTCAAATAGAAATTTGAACAAACTGAATATCAAGAAAAATATTTATTAATACGTTCATGTGGAGAATATAAAATGTGGACAAAACAACCAACAGATGAACTTGTTCGATTAATTGAATGGATAGATTATCCACAGAATACAAGTAAAATCTAAATTTTTTGATAAGATTTTATTATTACTAGAGGATGATGATGAATTTCTTTTTTTATTTTATAGTTTTAGCTAGTGAAGGTTTTCGTTGTCCATTTATTGCTTATATGAAAACAGGTGAATGTCATATTTTACGAAAAGTTGATGTAGTCAAAACAGCACACAATGGTACTAAAGTAATCTAATTTATCATACTATTTATATAGATAAAATATTTAAAATTTTAATTTTTTTTTCTCTAGAGACGACAATTACGTCAAGTTGTAATGGGAAAAGTAACTGCACCGGATTCCTTTGGTGAAATAAGTGTCTTATTGCAAGAAGCAATGGTAGTTAATTTAAAGAATCAAAAATAAAATTTAATTCTTTTATATTGTAGACTTGTACTATAGTAACTGCTACACAATGTAGATTAGGAATTGTTCGTCCGGCAAAGACTTTAGGTAAAATTTTGAAATAGATTTTTAATTTCTATTTTTGAATAATATAGAACTACCTGAAGTAACACGTAAATTATTATTACATACAGCTCAACGTACTTTTGCTGATTTATCACAAGATGATATTCGACGTGAATATATTAATCAAGAAACACGAAAAGAATGGACAGATTTTAAAAAAGATATTTTAAATGATGTTATTTTTAAGAAAAATATTCGTTCTGGTCATGGTAAATGGCAACATTCACTGTCAACATCAACTGCAGAACGTCTGTCAAAATCTTCAATGCATTAATCTCGGAACTTTATTTATTTATATACATATAATTTTTTTTTATTCTAAAACGTATTTCTTTAGATTCTAAACAGAATAATTAATGAAATAAATCTATATGCAAAAATAGTTAAATGCTAAGATCCGTGACGGAGCCAGAATTTTAGACCTGGTGGAGAACCATTTTAGAGGTTATATTGATTGAAACTTAGATTTATTAGGGGTACTACATTATCATTACTAGAGTAATAAATTTGGCAACTGAACTCGCTCTATCTTCTCCACATCGGTTCCACTATTGGTTAAGATATAAATTAGACATACTTTAAACTTCGAAATGTTTATAGATATTACTGATGAGTTCCGACTTCTTTTCTCAGACTAGCTAAATTCAGTAATGCATAAATAGACGTTGATCATTGTCATACACTCTAGCAGCTAGTAAACAAGCACAAGCAGTTGAAGAGTTTTTCCACAGTAGCAAACGTGCTGTTTGAATGGCCTCATTTAGTCCAAGTACATCAACGTGTTGAAGAAAAACATGGATAAGGTTAAAATATTCTATTGATTTTTATCGAAATAAATAGATAAAAATTGTTTTCTGTCTATTTGATGATAAATAACCTTTTGAATCTTTTTATGACCTAGTGACTGTGGTTTCAAAAGGCACGAAAAATGTGTTTTTTTTTAGTGTCTTACAGGTATTAACGGATGGTATAGGACAGAGAACTTTAATTCATATAATTTTTGTGAGAAAAATTGTCTCATGATGAAGATATATGTAGACACACAATGAATATGCTCTAAACGAGACCTGTTGAGGTTCAGTTGACCAATAAGATCTTTGCAACCAAAACCTAATTTATGCATAAAGTTTCAGGTATGACTAAGGATCATCAGACTCATATTGTAACATTGTTCATTTTATGAAAAAAATTCAAAAAAAAACGCTCATACACAATGATAAAGTCGGTTAGAAGCCAAGTGACATACTGTATACGGCTTCAGATTGATAGGATTTATTTCTGGATCCTCAGAGTATAAACGAAGAACTCGACGATTGAAAGAATTCACTTGATTTCCATTCTCATTCTCAAGAGAATGCTCATTTGCCAGATCGAAAATTCAAATAATTTTCACTAATAATATACTTCTATGAAAATAGAAATGAAAAAGTCACGACTTTCACAGGTCATGGGAGATCTCTTGGAGAAATGACTCACAAATGACGTCATACATTTTTTTCAAGACTTGTTTGATGTGACATGGCCGAGCTCGAGCATTCTTACCAAGTAATGAAAGACTGATTCACATCATCGCTCCGTCTAGAATATCAAGAGAAGATATCTCAGTCGGATCAAGACTGATTTTTTAGTGGATGCTCTGATTAAGGAAACTTTTTCGTTCAGTCTGAATAATATTTAATACATTTCCGTTTGTTGATCATTAACTGATCATAGGTCAACGTGTCATCATTCTGACTTGAGAACTCGTTTGAAAAATTTTATTTCTACCTATATATTAATCAAAATAGAGCTTTGCTAGTTAGTTTTATTACAAATGATCCAAGTTACGTTTAAATTCAAGGTCTTTTATTAGTTTTTACTCTGATCTCAAGTATTAAATAAAAAAAAATGACCAGTTAGAAGGAGCAAATACTGCATTCATTGATTTATTTTTTTGGTATTCTATCAACACCATAGTCTGAAAACCAATATGCCGACTTCTGTGTTATTGAAGATTGTTGCTAAAGTTATTTTTAATATTAGCTCTCGCACAAGAACAAAAACCATGTGACCTGAAAATCTTTTGCAGAAAATAACTTTCATCTTACCATGCATAACACGGTTTCAACATGTTTATTTGATCAATCATCATTCACCTGTTAAAGTCAATTCGGTCAATCCCTTGCGTGGAGTAAGAAACTTCTCAGCTGCATGGTCCTATGAAATGTAAGCAATGATTGCAAGAGTAGAAAATTAAAGTTCCATAGCCATTTCTGAGTTGTTATTGGGACTCTCATTATTTCTTGTGGTAGATTTATGAGATACTAGCTGCTTCATTTGCGCTGAGTTGATTCATTCAGCCGATAGACTTTCCGATTTCCGTTTTAATCTATAACGTAGTATTCCATGATGAACTAAGAGGAGTAGGCATGCAGTTACTAGCGGCATTGTCAACAGATTGTGAACGTGCTTCATAGTTGCGAAAAACTTCTTTGATGATCACACCGGTAGCGAAACGATTTAATATAGATATCGATCGTGGCACATTTCCAGAGATACATTGTTGTCAGTACTTCTCAATACGAAAACAAGACTCTTTTTTGATTCGTAGCATTCTGCAGAATGAGTTGGTAACTGCAGCCGTTACTCTCTTCAGGCTGCTCTCTGGCTCCTTCAAGAAAACAATTTTTCTAAAAAAAAAGACACTTTTTGAGATAAACATATAGGCATGATTCTTAAGGTGTCTTGTTTTAACATTCATAATATTGCGAACAATTCGTTCTTGATCTCGATCTAAATCCTATCCTTTACCTTGCTCTTGCCTTCGCTTCTCCTTTTCACGTTAAAATGAATGCCAATGATTTTCAGTTAAATTCACAAGAATTCGGTTTTCAACAAGTAATTCGAAAAATGCTAGTACAACATTCTTCTTCAGTTCTATTATTCTATAGTATTTGTGTTATTTATCATATTCATTTTAAGGATTGCTCAGTCTTATGTTTTTCTCAAATATAAAAGAATATTTAAAAAAGTTTTCAGTGACCGACAACACTGGATAATCGATGATACCAGATAAACGATTATGTGATTACGAAAAAATCAATTTCTCTTTGTGATATCTGACCTGCTAATGATCATTTTTTTAGAGTTCACGTGACAGAACAAGTGAGAAATTGGAAAGAATGCATAGAATGCTAGTTGTTCTTATTGCTCATGTGAAATACGATGATGATTTTTCGCAAAGCCATCTGGATTTCATTGCAAACCATGGGGCTACTAAGACACACGAGATGAGTTTTTCATGACGTTTGATAGTTAAAGTTTAGTTGACTTTTATAAAATGGTACGATCTATGATTTGTTTTAGAACATCGACACTATAGAAGAAAACTACGGGTCGTTGTGTATATTGAATAAATTCTGAACAATGACATATGATATTATTTAAACCAACTGTGCGTGTTTCATTAGAGTTCTCTACTCGATTTACAAACAAAAAAATGAGGAAGACGAACTATCAACAAGAGATACTGGTTGTTTTCCATCATATGCATGATTTTCAGTGCGTTGTTGTTTTCTTACTGCGTCGACATTAAAAATTATAAATGTAAATTTATACTCATACTTCACTCCTATATAACTTTTGGAGAAATTGCAAATTATATCATTAGAAAAAAAGAGAAGAATTTAAGTCATTGATATATATTTCCATAATGTTAAACAAAATAACCCAGTCGATAAATTTGTTCTTAGTCACATTCTTTTCTTTTAGAATCAACACTGTCCATAATTTCCATTAATACGTGATGAATTCGTCTGATTTGCAAGTTTTTCATCGAGTAACAAGCAGTAGAATTAACAAAAATTGTGCAATAAATCAGAAGTATTCTTTTGATCATTCAGATATTCTTGCTCCATATAGAAGAGTTACCCCTACAAAAAAAGAGAAGCATGAATTATATCCATCTAAGCGTCATTTATTATTTAATTGCTGTAAAATTTCAGTGCAATCTAACATATATAATCTAGTCTAATTAGTTTCTATCAGTTTACTAGCAACTGATAGCGTTTTTCTTTATTCAGTCGACGATTATAAATATTTAATTATCTAACTAGGATTACATATAAACATTGAGAGTATCACACATTATCATTTATTTGTAAACAATTATTTCCTTTGGCAATTGCATCATATCATGCTTTAGACTATTTTTTCTCTTTTCTATTCTCATTTGACTTTGTGTCTTCTAGATATATTTTTGTCTCATCTCCTTTGTCTAATAATAAAAGGGTACTTCCATGGGAAGTATACTATAAAAAACACAAAGATCTCAGAAAATGTTTTGAGGTATCAGAGCTTGTAGAGCATTTTGTGCTGATCATTTTGATAAAAAATAAAATTTTTCTTTTCATCAAAAAATAACGGCACTAGGGTCAAAATACTGAAACATGAAAAAGTCGCATCGGTTACTTGCTTTTTGCAGTATTTTGATTCTACAAGCGTTATTTGTCAATGAAATAGGGCAAAATTTTATGTTAAAATGATTAGAAAAGAAAGCTCTACAAGCTCTGATGTCTCAAAACATTTTCTGAAATCTTTGGGATTATATGTTTAGCTATTTCTGACTATCCATGTTCAAAAAGTTGATTATCATATAACTTTAAATGGCTATATTCCTGCAGAATGGGACTTTGTGGGTTTTGTAGCGTGGAGTCTGCTCTACAAAACCCTATACATGGCAATCGAAGCACACCGACAAAATAGTGCATAAAATTCGACAAAACACTAAGGACTATGATTATTCCAGAAAAAGAAGATCATTTATGCATATTACTTTGAAATTCCATTTGTTTGAGCTGAAAATTGTCATTATATGATCCCTAACATAGGTTTGGTAGTACTAGGATTAACATATACAACACATTTGTTAAACAAAGTATATTAAATATACGAAAAAAAAAACAAATTATTAAAAAGCGTCAGCATTGTATTTTATTAACGACGATACGGTAGATCGGGCCAGATAGTATCCACGTCACAGATAATTCTATTCACATGAGCATGGCTAACAAAAGCATGCCAACTGTCATGTTGACTAGCCAATTGAGATAAGTTTCCAACTACATACAAACCATTTTTCGGTCGAGTTAACATGACATTAACACGATTCATGTCATCTAAAAATCCAATTGTACCACCGCTACGCACACATGAAAGTATAACAATATCTTTTTCCTTGCCTTGTGAACTATCGACTGTCATAATTTCAATATACCGAGGTAGATGTGATCGAAGAAGACGAACTTGAGCTTTATATGGAGTAATTACAGCAATTCGTTGTTGAACTTCAATCGATCGAGGATCATCAATGGGTAATGGTTGTAAACATTGTCTTTCTGTCTTTTCTTCATGATCGCTATCATCATCAGTATAATAAGTTGAATTAGATGAAGAGGTTATGCTAGAATCATCATCGTCTTCATCATCTTCACTGTCACTGAAGACAGGGGTAGGTGGTAGAGCCAGATGTGCAATTAATAGATTACAAAAATATCTTATAAATTTAGCTTCACCTTCATTAAATGATGAACTAGCATTATCATATCCATGTGGTGATTTAATCATATTGTATAAATATAATGGCTTGAGAGTAAAATACATCATTCTTTTGGCTACTGATTCATCTGTTAATAAACGATTGTCATAAAAGTGTTCACTTGGAAATCGACATATGTCTGGATGCATTCGATATTGAGTATCGAGCATACTTATTGGACCATCTGAATGTTTGTCAAAAATAGAATACAAACGTTTATAGAGCGATTGAGCTAAACCATAAGTATTTCCAGCATCACTGATGACACATGGAGGAAGTTGTAAGGGATCACCAACTAGTATAAGCTTGGTACATTTAAATCGAAGTGGCAAAAGAAAGTCGACTTCCAAACTTTGACTTGCTGAAGATAAAAACATCGAAAGAAAAAACAAAATTATTTATGGTATTGAATAAACTCACAATACTTTATTCCCTAATGTATAGATTTGAGAGAGACAATATATTAATAGAGATAATCTCGTCTATTCTTTCTCACTTTACATTAATGGACAGTATTATAACTTACCTTCATCAACAATAATAAATGCAGTAGATGATTTCAATGGATGCAGTCTTGTACTTCCACAATAATTCAGTGTTGAAACAACTATTTTAGCATGTTTTATAATACGTGCTTCTGTTTCTTGAGCAATATTAGAATTTGGTCTTTGCTCTCCTTTCAAAATGTTTACTATATCTTGGAGAATCATAAAATCTAGAAAATAATTGCACAAACGATAATCATCAGGTGGTTGACATCCAATGCGAATCAGAGTGCCTATTTAAATTAAATTCATTTTAATCAAATTGATCACATATTGTTCAAAATAAACTACTAACCATGCTTGTAGGAAATATGTTGATTAGTAAACTCATCAAGAATACGTCGAGATAATTCATCACATGCATTATTTGATGGTGCACAAAGCAGAATTTTTTGTTTACGTCCTGATTCAGGTAATTTAGCTAGCAATTTCAATACAATACCTGCGATTGTTCGACTTTTGCCTGTACCTATATATACATATATACATATCATATGTAAAGTCTCTTAATTTTACTCAGGAAATATAAGGAGTATACCAGGTGGACCGTGGACAAGATGCAGATGATCTTGAATATCATCAAACATACATTCTGCAATAGCGATTGTCTTTGATTGAGCCATATTAAATCCATTCGTAGGACTTATATTCAAAGAGTCATAATCTGTAGGTAATTGGAAATAAATATCATTAATCATAGGTTTAAGTAAACTACGATATTGAGGCCATTCATGCAAATTATGTATAGCACTGATCATACGTCTTGATGATGATATATTACTTAATTTACATATTGGTAGTTTTTTATCTTGATTTCGTTGATGATATTGTTGGATAGCATTGGAACATGCACGTGAAACATAAACACCAGTTGTTGTTTGTAATTCGAATTCAAGCTCATTGTGATTAGTATGTGTCGTATGATTGTTATTTGACTGTTCATTTTTGCAGGCTACTTTAACTTTAATTTGTTCAACATGTACAATCATACCAAAATATATCATATTATTGATTGTAATTAGAACAAGATCAAAAAGACCAAGTTTTTTTGATAATGGTTTGTAATTATCAGCTATGAAAAATAGTTAAAAGACATATGAAATGAAAAGAAGATGGAAACTTACTAAAAGTTACACGATTGGTTCCAAAAATGAGTGCACTTTCTTCTTCTTCATCAAGTGTCATTTTATCATAGAATAACTCAAAATGAATAACTGTTTCACGTTCTTTAAGAGTAACATCAACATTTTTAAAATCTTTGACAATCTCATTCCATAATTCATGATAATGTAATGGAACAAGACATGCCTGATAAGTTGCTAAAGCATTATTGACATTGAATGTATCAATATCATCATTTGTTTTGTCTATAAGAAACATAAGATTTTTATTTTCTTTCTATTTGTATTACACAACAACTTACCATATGTTGTTTGTACTAATTTTAAAGGTACTGGAGTTAAACTATGATGAAGTTTTTTAATATTAATTTTTGATTCATACATATAATTTGGTATCCATCGAGTTACAATTCGATCAAGTAATGTACGAATAGAATTTTGTGCATCGTCTGTCCATGATCGACCTGGTCGATGTTCACTTTCTTGATTAGAATCAAGAGTTGTGTTACGAGATCCATGAAGAATTGTGCCTTCAGGTCTCGATATAGTTTTTATGGCTGTATAATTAAACTTAAATAAATTAAGTGCTGACGATAAGTCATGATTAAATAGAAACATCTTTCGAGCTTTTCGCCATAAATGTCCATCAGGACCATCAAGGTGTTCTTTAAACCATGCATTACCTGAATATAAATACTCGCCTTGTTCCATATTCACACTTATTAATACTGAAAGTCTAAAGGAGAAGAGAGATGATAGATTTTATTGTTACTCCTTATTTTCTTTTGACCCCTAATGTAAGTATGAATGGGTGCGATATGATTACATTTTTCCGCGAAAAGAATGTGTCGATAAGAAAACAAAGAACAACAATAAGGTATGAGTAACTTCATGTATAAAAAACAAACTGTAATTGAAAATACATGCAGCCTATGAGGCACATCATCACACATGAGCAAGCAGTCGGCGGCATATGTAACAATACATAAACAAGAGAACAAAAGCAAACAAAAATTCTTTTATTTTTGTTTTTTTTGCGTTTGTTTTTGTCATGAATGCGACGACATAAAAAAGTAAGGTACGTTGAATAGAAGTCATATCGTTAAAACAACAAAACAGACGACTACCAAATAGAATAATAAAAAAGTGTATTCGAAAAAAAAATCCTGTTTCGTTCTGCACATCTTGAGTAGTGCTATTGATTTATGTTGACTTTGTTTCATACCGTTACAGAAAATCGTAGTGTCAGGTTTCTATACTTTGAGGTATGTTCAGATTTCCGAAAATACCAAAATTTCTCCCATATCATTTAAAGGCATATATCTGCGTAATCACAGAAGTTTCGTAGAAATTTCTGTAATTACACCACTACATTAGAAAGAAATTTCCGAATTTTCACATAACTTTCAAGAAAATTTCCTAGAAACTTCGGTAATTCCTCATATCATAGAAGGGAAATTATAAGATAACTTCTGCAAATACCACCTATCCAAAAAGGAAATTTATCAATAATTACGGAAAAAACGAACACATATAGACGAAACTGCAAGGAAATTTCCGAAATTAACTAGTTCTCATGAAGAAATTTCTACAGGAAATTCTCAGAAATTTCGGTAGTGACTAGGAAATTTCTATAAATTCCAAAAATTACGATATATAACTATAATAAAACACATATATAAATTTAAAGAACCCTACAACAAAAAACAGAAGAATTTATGGTAATTTCAGAAATTACCTAGTAATTTTAGTAATTACGAAAATTTCTATAATATTATTATACCGATATGATAATATGAATATAGACTTAAAGAACTCTACCCCAAAAAAATAGAAGAATTTATCGTAATTTCAGAAATTACCTAGTAATTTCAGTAATTACGAAAATTTCTATAATTTCTACAATATTATAATGTGGATATGATAATGTAAACAGATTTAAAGAACCCTACCCCAAAAAACTAGAAGAATTTATAGTAATTACGGAAATTACCGAGAAGTTTCAGTAATTTCCGAAATTACCATAAATTCTTCTGTTTTTTGGGGATAGGGTTCTTTAAATCCATATCTATTTTATTATAGGTATATATCGTAATTTTAGAATTTATAGACATTTTCTAGTAATTACCAAGATTTCTGAGAATTTCCTGTAGAAATTTCTTCATGAGAACTAGTTAATTTCGGAAATTTCCTTGTAATTTCGTCTATATGTGTTCGTTTTTTCCGTAATTACTGATAAATTTCCTTTTTGGATAGGTGGTATTTGCAGAAGTTATCTTATAATTTCCCTTCTATGGTATGAGTAGTTACCGAAATTTGCCGATTTAAGAAGAAAATTTCCTTTTTTGGAAATCTGCCCACTGCTGTATACTTTGCAGTAACATTCAGAATTTTTGCAACACATTACGTGCCAGACTGTGTCATAAGCGTATGGAATTGAGAAAAAAAGATTTCCATTGGTATTTCTTTGATAAGAATTCATCATATTTTCAAGTCTATCGCTATTTTTCTTCTCATCGTGATCCATAGTATAAAACAGAATTAGTATCAAAGCCGTAGATTACAGTGTACAAATTCAGTTGGAAATCAGTTTTGTTCAGAGCAGAGTAAGTTTTCATTGTTTTAACTTTACTCCATATCCTGTTATTGAGTTTATTAAAAACTATAACCTCTTAAGATCCTCAATAATCTAGCGGTGCTTGAGACTCGGCAAAATATCAGAAGAAATTGATCATGTTAGACAAAGTAGCATGTAGTTGTACTATTGTCTTTTGAAACAAGACTGAAAACAAAATAACGGTAGCACAGTGCAAGTATTTTTCCTCTGTGCCAGCGGCGTAGCCAAGAGGGGGGGGGGGGGGGGGGGCAAATGAGCAATTGTCCATTTCATTTGGAGCTTTACTCATTGTAATTTTTATTAGTAAGTTTTTGTCCATTGAAATTTTACTTTTTCAGAATTGTTTATTGATTTTTGAATTAGATATTAACTCTATTTTTTTTCTTCCATCTGAATCACACATGCACTTTTTGCTTGTTCTCTCTGTGAAGAATGAAGAAAAGAATCACTTCTGATATTTTCACCAGGGTTGCTAGATGAAAAACATAAAAATCAGAATTTTTTTCTGACATCGAAAATTAATCAGAAAGAGTAATTTTTTGAAAACCAAGGGCTACCATGTTGACATACTTCTACAAAAGGCTTCACTTTTTTTTCTGTCTATCGACTCATACTTTGTTTCCGAAAGTATTTCATTGTAAAGAAAGACAACACAACTGTTATATAGATTAGAATAAAAGATCGTATACTGTAAGCTAAGAAGATTGATCACAGTTGGATCAAATGAATGCTCTCACCGCCAAACCAACTAATTAAAAATATGAGCTGTCAATAGCGTACACATACCAGAATATTCGAGTTTCAAGAAGTTTACAGTTTGTTATGTGCCCACACTACGAAATTTCATCAACGTTTAGTTTTCTTTTTTCGCCATGGTTGAATGGAGCAGAACCATTTACATAAGAAAAGACAATATCACGCATATTAAAAAACAAATTCTACGAAGTCTAAGACAACATTTGTTTACTTATAAAGATAATAACCAAAAAACCTTAAATTGTTGTCAAATTACTTTTGAATCTGTGTGATATTGCTTCTCCTTATGTAAATAATCGTGTTCCATCCAATCATGACAAGAAAAGAAAACTATAGGTTGATGAAATTTTGTAGTGTTGGCATATGAAAAACCGTAAATATCTTAAAAATTAAATGTCTCGATCTGTGTACGCTATTGACAGCTCATATTTTAAACTAGTTGGTCTGTGAGTGAAGTCGAGAACCTTCCGATCTTGATCACAGATTAAGAACGGGCCATCCTGAGGTGATCTCATGGATACTCGACCAACTCAAGTTCGGTCAGATCTCGACATTTGACCTGTTGAGTTTCCGGAATTGAAAAAATTAAATATAATAAAATCGAAAAAAATGCAACGAATCGCTTTAAGAGAAAGAAAATGCAAAAATTGAAAGGTCAGGTTCGATCCTGAACATACTAAAATTTTGGTAGCAGGGTACCTAGAAATACTGTACAACAGTACCCAATTGAGTATCTAATCAGTATCTTCAAGCACCCAGTTACTATACATTTTGTAGCAGGATACATGCCAAAGTACTACTTAGGTACTTGAAAGTACTTATAAGTACTTTGGTACCCAAAAGTTCCTGTGACATACTGGTAACAGGATACTTTTTCGGGTGCCCTTAACTCAGTATATTCTCTAGGGTTTGTTTCATGAATAGATGCATCGGATGAGTAGACCCGCTGTTATATCTGAGTATTTGAACGGCAATGAAATGACGTCGTTGATGAAGGAGAGAAAGAGCAGCTATATGTGCATGTGAATAATGAAAATATGTCGACATTAATATATTTTATATGGACAATATGTTTGATTGATTCATTAATGAATAGAAAGGAATCGATTTTTCACCTTTCGATTTGATTTGATTTTCAAATAAATAAGAAAAGATCATGACAAAAAAAACCGTTCAGATAATCAAAAACAGATAATCAATAAAATAATAGCTAACTAATGAAAAATATCATCGTGAACATATAACATATTTCAGCAAATCAAAAAACAAGTAAACAAACAAGATGTTTTATAGTTAATGAAAATAAAAAAAACACTATCAGATATTTAGCTAATCAACAAATAGAGAATCAACATGATGACAGATAATCAAAAAAAGATTAGCTAAATATTTAAGCTAAATCAATGTTCCTATGTGTTTCTTTGACGACTATCAATAAAATTTTACTCCGAATATACGTGTAATAGTCCAACTTTGCGGAACTTGCTTCCACTAGTTTATTGAGAAATTTAAGTTCTAATAGATAAGTACTATCTCCTCCGATATTCGATGGCTGATTTTCTTTTTTACTTAAATGCTCTAATCGTCATTCAAATAATTGTTCAGTCATTTTCACTTCTTGAATCTAAAATAGACTATATAGTGAACAATAATGAATTAAGAATTGATTTACTTCGAGTCTTTAAACTTGAAATGCAGCATCTGTTGCTGTTGTTATTATTTAAATAAACGAATAAAACAAGAAGGGTGTGGGTGTGAGTGTGGATATAGGTGTGAGTGAAGAGAAGACCCGCACCCACATCCTTTAATACAAAAATTAAACAGAGGCTAAATATGTCATTTGGAATTTTGCCTAACTTTCATCGGATAATTACGTCATACCATGAAGGTTTACGAAACAACGTAAATAAAAATAATTTATATATAACGATGTAGAAAGATTCAGGGTGAAAGTGAATTGGAAGTAATTCTTATTTATGTTTTTCGTAAACATTTATAATATGACGTAATTACACAATGATAATTAAACAAGATTTCAGGCGATAAACTTAACCTCTATTTAATGCAAAATCAGATGTCGATAGATTACCATTATGTGTATATTATTTCTTCCCAGGTCCAGTGTTACGGACTCCGTATACGGTCGTAAACGATCGTATACGGTGTCGTATACGACCGTTTACATGCCATATACGCTCCGTATACGATCGTATGTGGCCGTAATACATGTGATCGTATTACGATCGTATATCTCCGTGGTCGTATACGGAGAAATACGGAGCAATACGGAGATCGTATACGGAGCGTTTATGGTCGTAAACGACCGTATTATCCCCGTATGCGATCGTAAACGATCGCATTTTGTCGTCTATATAGAATTATTTCAGTACATAACATTGATCGTTCTACATTCACTGAGACATACACCTACCTATCTACCTATCTATCTGCCTACCTACCTATCTATCTATCTAACTATCTACCTATCTAACTACCTACGCACCTACCTACCTACCTATATATCTACCTATCTACCTACCTACCTATCTATGTATCTATCTATCTGCCTACCTATCTATCTAACTACCTATCTATCTATCTAACTACCTACCTACGTATCTATCTAACTATCTACCTGCCTATCTATCTATCTAGTTATTTATCTACGTGTCTACCTACCTATCTATCGATCTATTTAAATATGATTAAGAATATAAGTCCATTGATAATTTTACTGAGAGATGTCATGATCTCATTTTAATAATTCCCTCGAATTAGAACTTGATCAGTTCATAAATTTTTTGTTGATTCTCATGAGATGCCTAATTCGACTTATAATATAAATGCACCTTCAGAAGTTTTTTATCATTTTGAAAATAAGTAATAAAATAATCTATAAATCTGTTGACTTATATTGCTTCTTATAAAAGTAATAAACAACGATGGCTTTACTGTAAATTTATACAAAAAAAATTTTTTTTTCTTCCTTTCTCATTGATTATAAATCTAATAAATGATAATGCAAAAAAAAAATAAATATTTTGTATAAACTTACAGTAGTCTTCATTTATATATATTTTTTTCTTCATTTATTATTGATTACAAAAGTAATAAATGATAAACACTTTACTGTAAATTTATACAAAGTATTTATATTTTTTTCCTTTATTACTGATTATAAATCTAATAAATGACGAAGACTTTTCTGTTAGTTTATGCAAAGTATTTATATATATATATTTCTTCATTTATCATTGATTATGAAAGTCATAAATGAACACTTTACTATAAATTGATACAAAATACTAATAGTTTTTTTTACTTATCATTTATTAGATTTATAATCAATGTTGAATGGAGAAAAAAATATAAATATTTTGTATAAATTTACAGTAAAGTCTTCATCATTTATCACTTTTGTAATCAATAATAAATGAAGAAATGTATGTATATAAATGAAAACTTTGTAATTTTATACAAAATATTTATATTTTTTTCATTTATTATTTATCAGACTTATAATCAATGATAAATGGAGAAAAAAAAATTTTTTTTCCATAAATTTGTAGTAAAGTCTTCTTCACTTATCACTTTTATAATGAATGATAAATGAAGAAAAAAAAATATAAACCTTTTGTATAAACCTGCAGTAAAGTGTTCATCATTCATTACCTTTGTAATAAATGATAATGCTAAAAAAATATAAATCTTTTGTATAAACTTACAGTTAAGTCTTCATTTATCACTTTTATAATAAATGATAAATGGAGAAAAAAAATTATTCTTGGTGAGGTTGAGTCCTGTTGATGTTTTTTCAGTCCATTTATATTATAAGTCGAATTAGGCAGGTACTCTTGATCCTATGATGATTGTAGTAAATCAATACATCATCAGTCATCATCCATCTTTGATATACATCATTTACTCATTAAATCCGAGCAAAAATTAGACGCTCCACTATATACAACATTCAAAAATGTAGCCCAGCCATTTAAATTTCAAGGAAAGCTTTGAAATATTCCAGAACAGTCTAAGCCGTGTTTGTTAACGCCGTTCAACACCTTTTCCATCGCTAAGGGTTTGTGTAAAAAGAGTCTGATATTTGTTATATGTTCGTTATTATGGCAGCATTTGTCCCCAGTGATCTTTGACCTTTGATCACGGATGCTAAGATCTGTAATGGGACAGGGAAGAGAAGTCGAAAAACATCGCATTTAAACTTATACCCACTATTTTTCTTCGAAAAATATATGTGAGTTGCACAACATGTGCTGCTTATTAAATTGTACGGTTATGGTACCGATACGACCAGATACGACCATGCACGGTGACATACGACCGTATACGACAGTCGTATAGCCCCGTATACGGAGCCCAGATGCTTATCTTTTAATTCCTCCGTATTTTTGTACGATTTCCGTATACGGAGTCCGTTTCTCATCGCACCGCTCCGTATACGCGCATCGCATACGGAAGCTGTGCACGACCTCCGTATATCTCCGTTTTTTTTCGTAAACGACCGTTTACGAGCGTGCATGTTCGACCTGGGAATTATTGGATAAAAGATAAAGATCTTCATCGTAGTCATCATTCAACTATTATATATGATAAAAAATACAATGATTTTGTTTCTTATTTCACAAATTAGTTTCCTTCCTTGTCTTATTTTTACATGATCTAATTACTACAAATTAAAGTTCAATCTATTAAATCTTCCCAATAGAGACATAATAAATACGTTGGCAAAATGAGACAAATATATCAATTGATAGAAACTCTTTTTCGCTGTCAAGATTATTTTTTACTGTAAGATCGAATCAACTGAGATTCTACTTATTGTCATATAAAAGGAGGATGGGTGAGGGTGGAAAATAAGTCTTTGCTATTGGCCATAAATAGGAAATGTCATTGGACTATTCTGCGACTAACTTGATCTGCAACGTTCTTCTTTATTGATGTTTACTAAAAGATCAGTGGATTAATCGGTTTTAAAGGTATCAATTGATCGACTGAACCGATGGTATCGCCACATTAGATACTAGACTTCTGAAATGATTTGTTCCTTCCTGCGATTCAATTCTCCGAAAATATTCTAAATACCATGAGATTCAAATTAAATTCCTTATGTCTTTTATTCATTGATGAAATTTTGTTAGTTGATCAGTCTTTATGGAGAGAATTACATACACGACTAAGTCAAATTATACATAGAACTGGTTCTAATATTTATTTCGGATACGTTTCTATAGTTGCCGTAGGGGATTTTTATCAATTACCATCGGTTAAAGGAGTTCCTCTATATTTATCAAATTATGTAATAGATTATTGACAAAATTTATTCGAATATTCTGAATTAACTATTTGTCAACGAATGAAAGAAGTAGATTTTTATGCTTTAGCAAATCGAATTCGTAAAAAAACAAAAAAGAAGGCCTTCTCTGATAAAGATAGAGAAATGTTACAACGATGTGTCGATAGATATAATTCAAAAATGTATCAAGACGATTGCTTACATTTATTTGCTTGGAATAAATTTGTTAATGAACATCATGAGAATATGTTATGATTGAAATGCAAAAACATTATTGATATACCTACAAAAAAGATAAATAACATACAAAATCAATTAATCACGAAAAGAAAAAAAAACTAAATACCTGTGATTATAAAAATTTGAGAGTTGCAGTCAATGTTCGAGTCGTAGTAGAAGAAAATGTAAATCGAGATGATAGAATTGTTAACACTCGGATGCCCAAGAGGAGGTCCAGATGAATTCCACTATAGAAAACAGACATTTAACAAAAATATCTCTATATTTTTTCTTTTTTTAAATATATTTAAACGTTTTCCAATGTTTAGAATCCAAATTTGACAATAAAAAAAAAGAAATCATCTTCCTTTTTATATGTCAATTATGAGTATTTAATATGACTTTATACCTTGTTCTGCTAACTAAATTATAGCTCGAGAACTTCGAAATTTTTACATAATGATATCCAAAATGCATTAGCCGTTGTCGGTTAGCCTATGATAAAGCAACTATCAGAAGAATTAAATGAAAACTCTACACAATCAAAATGTAAACGATGTTCACTTCGTGATCGTTCTAAAGATAGAAAAGTTCGAAATCAATGTTATCATTATTCAGAACCGGTTTGTGATGAGCACTCTCTTCAACGATTTTTTTGTATTAACTGTTCTAAATAAAGAAAAACTATAATTCTAATAATTTCTTTACAAGACTGAAGAGGAAAATCATCTGATTTTGGCAAAAATACCGGTTCAGCAATCAAAATCATAGAATACAAATAAATGTTATCATATTTTCTCTAAAACTAACCTTGGTACTCTGAGGGTTAAATACTCATATTTAGCATATAAAAAGGAAGATGAATTCTTTTTTTTATAGCCAAATTTGGATTTTAAACATTGGAAAATGTTAAATATATTTAAAAAAAAGAAAAAATACAGAGATCTTTTTGTTAAATATCTGTTTCCTATAGTGGGGCCCATCTGGACCCCGCTTGGACATTCGAGAGTTAACAAAAGCATACCAAGTGTCATGTTGATTAGCCAATTGAGACAAGTTTCCAACTACATACAAACCATTTTTCGGTCGAGTTAACATGACATTAACACGATTCATGTCATCTAAAAATCCAATTGTACCACCGCTACGCACACATGAAAGTATAACAATATCTTTTTCCTTGCCTTGTGAACTATCGACTGTCATAATTTCAATATACCGAGGTAGATATGATCGAAGAAGACGAACTTGAGCTTTATATGGAGTAATTACAGCAATTCGTTGTTGAACTTCATCAGTTTTGTTCGAAGCAGAGTAAGTTTTCATTGTTTTAACTTTACTCCATGTCCTGTTATTGAGTTTATTAAAAACTATAACCTCTTAAGATCCTCAATAATCTAGCGGTGTTTGAGACTCGGCAAAATATCAGAAGAAATTGGTCATGTTAGACAAAGTAGCATGTAGTTGCACTATTGTCTTTTGAAACAAGACTGAAAACAAAATAACGGTAGTACAATGCAAGTATTTTTCCTGTGTGCTAATTTTTTGTGGTGCTATATATTATATATTTATTTAGTATTTTGACAATCATCTTCTGTTATTAAATAATAATATAAAAATACTATTCAACAGGTATTCTTTTTTTAAGTATAGATCGTTGCGTAGTTGGACGAGATTTAAGTGTTGGAAGTTTGACACTTATATCACGACGTGTTCGTCTAGGTAAAACTGTTTGTTGTCTTGATATTAATACAGTCTCACCAGTCACTGGTTCACGTATACGTTTTGTACGTGCTCGTTCTCGAGAAGATGTCCATTGTTCTGCTAACAGTTCATAAACAGCACCACCAACTAAAAGACCACGATTGTTTGGTAAAAACCGAACACAACAAGATAAATCATTGACAATCTAAAGAAAAGATGTGTGTGAAAAGAATCCAAAAACAAAAGAATTCCAACCGCAAGTCGATGTAAACAATCATTACTAAATATATTCCAAACACGAACAGTCTCATCATCAGTACTAGCTAATATGGAACCATCATCATCACGAAATACAACTGCTTGAATCCATCCTGTGTGACCGAAAAGACGAGTACGTATACGAGCCATTTCAATTTGCCAAATAACAATAATCTTATCCCAACCAGCTGATGCCTATTGAATTATAACATATGTAAAAACAAATAACAAAACAAAAAGTCACAAGAAACAAACTAGAAATGGTAAATTTGAAAAAGCTAATGCACGCACATTACCAAAATGCCCTCGAAGCATAATAGGTTTCAATGGTAATGGATTGTCAAAATTATATAAATAAATAACATGATCATGTGATCCAGTTGCCTGAAAAATATCAAAATAACATATTTTTATTATTCACTACTTCCGTCAATTTCAAAGATAAATATTGAGTTAGTTAGTAAGACTTTTTACGACAAGAAAACATTTTATCGATGTATTTCATCAAATTTTATACTTTAAATAATAGATTATCTAAATTATACTTTTCACGAGAAGAATTCCTTTGATGTCTAATAAAAATCTCAAAAAAAACATCTTATCAAATTCATTTAAGATATAAAAGAAATAAAAATTTTTATAAGTCTTCTTAAACATAGAAACAAATTCCCTTTTTTTTTGACCATAATTGACAACAAAAGAAGAAATTCATTCTCACCATCAAATTCAATTTTCGATGAAAAGAAATTGATTGTACTGCACTTGTATGATGATGAAAATCGTAGATTTTTTCACCTGTCTACAAATTGTATATTCTTTTTAATACAAAAAACAAAAACAAAATATCTATCAATCTCTTTCTTACTATCACATTCCATAACATTGTTCGACAATCCCATGCACCACTTGCTATTAATTGATTATCTGTTGAAAAATGAAGACAATCAGATGGATGTGTATGACCTTAAAATTAATAAAAGAAAAAGATAATTCTTTTTTAATTATTTTCATTCAATTTCTTCTACCAGCAAGTGTATATAATAAACAACCAGTTCTTGTTTCATACAACCGAACATTAATATCATTAGCAGTTGATGCAAAATATCTATCATCATTCGAAATAGCCAATGCTCGAATAAGACCTTAAGTTAAGTAAATATGTCGGTTTTTTTTAATAATAATATTCATTTGTTTATTGACATACCTGCCTTTTCTTGAATTTTAAATGTTAAATGATGGAATACTGTATTCCATAAACGAATAAATCCATTGATTGATGCTGTAAGAAGTATTTCAAAATCATTTGAAAATACAAGACAATTGATTTCATCATCATGTCCACCATATAATGAAAGACTACGATGAGCAAACATAATTTCTCTTAATATCACGTGTATGTTATCAAATCTAAATTTCAATGTTTGTTGTTGTTGTTGCTGTTCGGTTTTGCTCCTTGTAATACTTTTATTCTTTGTCACATCGTAGAAAGAGAACGATAGAGAACAAAAATACAAAAGTTGTCGATTATTTTTCTTTTCTTATTTTCATTCTTTAATAATAGTAGTAGAAAAAGAAATCGAATTTTTTTTTTGTTGAATAAAATTTAATACATAAATACAGACGTGAGAGCACTCCCCAAGGCGAACATTATGAATTTTCAAACAAAAATAAACGATTTTTGAGAGAAGATCAAATGAAAAAAAAATAAATTAACACTCGACAAAGTGTTTATTCAAAAGATTATGATTGTTTTCAACAGGGATTAGAAGTTATGATTAGCATTCGATTTTTTTATGCGGCCAGTAGCAAGTAAAATGAAATTCGTACAGAATAATTATTCATCAGGCTATTCGCCAGGTCAGGTCAAATCTCGAAATTTCAGTCTGGTTTGATTCATTCATATCATTTTCGACTTGAATAACAAGTCAGGGTAGACCAAAGTTATTGGCTTGACTGTTACGTTTTGGACATCAAATGTTGATGCATCGTCTTATTATTCGAGAACACTTCAACAAAGTTATTCAATTCCAGCAACAAATATTTGAAACGAATGTTAATTTAATGTTTTTTTAGGACTTACATTGATTGATAGAAGAGCTTGTTTAGATCCACGATAATCGGATAATAGATTTCACTTTTGTACTGTTGCAAACATTAATAATAAAATACAAATGTCCTTGTCTATTATTATAATTATCACTTATGCTATACATTTTCGTTTTATACCTGATTGTATGTTGCTTTTGTTATTATAATTTCGTTGTTTTTCGATTGTGCAAAACAGTACTGATATAATCAAAAATATTTTATGATAATTGTCTCTTTGTTTTAATTTGCTATTTCATTTAAAAAAAAACTTATTATTATCTTCTCTTTATGGAAATAAATTAGGTGAACAATTAAAACTAGAATGATATATGAATGCCCAGTTATACAATCATTAAATCTATATGAAAAATTAGAAATATCAATCGGCCTACTACTTTGGTCTGCAGGCCACATTGTGATTTTTAGCTTGGCCTGCAAGCATTCCAAGCCGGATCAGGTCAGGCAAGAAAAAAAGTAGCCTATCGGCAACTTTGATTTGTAAGTATGGTCATAAAACGTAACAATAGGGTAATTCCTTAAAACATGTATGAATCAAAATATTTATTGAAAGTCAAATGGAATACACGATTTTCACAGATGACAAGCGACATATAGCACTTTTTATTTTTCAAAGTTTAACATGTACTGATGAAAATTTGTTTTTTTTCTTCGCTAGATGTATTTTTAGTTTGACTACTATACACTACAAAATAATTCTTTCTTATTTTATTAAATAATACCATGTTTTACTTCTAGGTTCGTCAATTTATCATCAATATTATTGAAATATTGTAATCGTGCTAAAATTTCTTTAGCTTTTTCTAAATCCATTGTGTTCAATGCATTTGATAGTTCTTTCATATGATCATCAATTTCTTGTCGCATTTTAATGGCTAATTCAATGGGAAATGGTTTTTGATCATTATCTTCATCAACTAATTGTTCATTTATTTCCATAATATATTGAAGAAAATCTGATTCAAGTTGAACTGGTGATTCTTCAATTGTTATATTTTCTAATTTAAGTAAATAATGTGCACGTGCTAATGGAGACAATAAAGTTTTATAAGCTCCATTAAGTAAAGCTGATTGATCTTGAGAATATTTTTTTTCGATCTAAATTTTACGAAAATATTTTTTTTTTAAAAACAACCGAAAATTTCCATAAAATTGATTTTTTACTTACTCACATCAGATTTATTTGTGAAAAGATCAGGATGTAAAAATTTCATTGTATTTCGAAACATTCTTGTTAATTGTTTTGTATCAATTTCAAATGAACGTGATAAATCAAATAAACGAAAATAATCAATTTCAGAACGAACTGGTAACAGAACATGTTTTTCACATGGACAATATGATGGACATTCATTTCGATCAAGTTTACGTTGACATTGCCAACATTGTTCTATCAATGACGATGTATTGATTAATGAACGAGGAATGTGCATGAATGTTGACAAACTTTACAAATAGATAGATAAAAAATTAAACAATGAAATACTAATAATATTTATAGTTTTAACTCTTCATAAACTCATGAAAGTTAATTGAGAATTTAATATAAACTATAGTGTCCTGCGGAAACAATTTTTTCCCGTCCCGTTTCCCGTGAGAATTGAGAACGGAAACAATATTAAAAAACGGGACGTACTTGAAAATCGTTTTCTTTTGTTTCATTGCACGTATATACTCTCCAAACGCTGCTCTTTCAAAAAAAACGTCGAAGTCAATTCGACGCTACATTGTCGAGAAATAGATTTTCATATTCTCCCAAAGACTTTTATCATCGCTTATTAATTAAAAGAAAAATTAGACAAGTTCATTCACGATCTCACGTTGCGCGAAGTGTGACTTTGACAAAAACTAGTTTCTGGCAATGATAGTTTTTTTTAAACATGAAAAATGAATTCGTAACAAGGATTCTGAAAGTATTACACGGAAACAGAAATCGAGCAAAGTCATTCCCTCAGGACAATAATAGATCGATCGATCCTATTAATAATCATTAGAAACACAGGGATATTTAAAATCTAAAAGCGTTGTACGAGAAAACTGCTCGAAGTCCTTTACAAATTACAATTTTACGTTGAAAACATATGCAGATCTTGATAAGAATGACCATTGTTTGAATCAGATATTGTTCTACAAGGAAGTATATGAAAGAAAATCAAATCATGGAATTGTAAGCTAGAATTTTACTCCTAAGCGAGTTTTATAGTCCTTCGAAAATCCTAGTAGTTCTAGCTAAAATAATTTCTCTACTGTTAAGATGTTGATTATTGAACAAACAAAATTCTATAATCCAATTCTCTACAATCTACAAGTGTGTAACGATAAAAAAACAAGCAATGTACAAATACTATTCTGTGGAATTGATACAATAAATATCTTATTATACATTTTATTTTTTTACAGATTTATGTTTTATGGTATTAGAAAAAAAACAGACGAAAGACAGTTGATCATTCGACAAATCTCTATATGTCTTCTTGTCTTTCATTTCAAAATGAGAATATATGAGATACAAAGAGCGTAACAGAGTCCGTGCCTGTAGGACCTCAAGGATAGTATTCGAGTCCTGAAAGACACCCAATTGATCGTGATTCAATGAAGTTCTAGTCCCGTAGTAAAACTCAGTGTGATTTTCCATTATTATCAATAGTAGGCAGAAGAGTAATGCCATAGCAGTGACTAGTACTTCAGCGGAAGATTATTTATCTCAGTTGGATTGGATTCTTTCTTGTTCTTCAGCTGTTTATATTGATTACATTTTGAACTCTGTGTTTTTCTGTCTGTTTCGTACACCTTATAGATATCAAGTATCTTTTTTATTTTTCATATTACGTTCTGTTGGACAGCATCTAATAAGCTTTTGCTAACATGATTATATTGTAAATGATTTCTGTATCAATAGCGGTTCTATGATATTTGACATCATACTTCATATACAGACAAGTTTAATATCCTTGTCAAACAAGCGATGAAAAGATACTTCGACAAGGACGAACTTTTTTATGTCGTGCTTGACGTCCTACAAAGTATGCTGATTAAGTGAAAATGTTCTGTAGAATGCAGGACAGAACGAAGAAAATCGGTCTGTGTCGTTCTCTGAAAGAATCAATTCAAAACAAATAGCATTATTGAAGATGCTGTTTTGATCAAATATTATAAATTCTTTTCATAAAGGAAAAAGAAACAAACTTTTCAGATCTGAAAGAAGTAATGTATTCGATGTCAAAAATGGAAAATATTAGCAAGATCATCTTGTATAAACTCTTACCGGTGTTGAAATAATCTAATAAACATCTAAAAAAAAAACATTTGTCAACACATTTAATCATATAGAAAGGAAAGAAAAAAAGGAAATTTTTATTACGAATTAATCAAATCAATAATTTAAAAAAGAAGTGAAATAATTTCCATTAAGTTATTCATTTTTTGATGATGGTACAACAAAAATATGTGTCGGTAATGTTTTATCAATTGATTCATCAACTTCTTGTGATTGTGGACGTATCATTGATAATTTAAATTTTGGTAATTGTACAAAACCACAAAGTGTTGCAACTAATGTATAACTAACATCTGATGAACTATGTGGTGGAACAAGTAATGATGTCTAAAATAAAATTAATATTTTTTATTTTATGAAAATAAAATCAAATAAAATTTTATTTTATTTACTATTGTACTACCAGAAACAGCAACAATAAGATTAATTTGTTCAAGATTAACTTTATATTCATGAACAATATTTGATCGATTATGTATACGATAATTAATTTGAAATGGTTCTTGTAAAGGTACATGATTTGGTATTGTTACTTCAATATAAACTTGTTGTTGTTCAACATTAAAATCAGATAATGAAAATGTTGTACATAATTCAGGAATATGTGGATGACTTGATCTATAATAATAAGAATAATAAGAAGAAGAAATAAGAAATTCGAATGAAAGAAAAAGAAATTAACCGTTTCCAATATAAACTATATTCACCAACAAGAAGATTTTGAACAATAGGTGCAGCAATTGGTTGAGTACGAAGACAAAAACCTTCAGTTACTACTTCATTTAATTTTAATTGTACTATAACGATACAGAAAAAAAAACAAACATTTAAATTTGACAATAATTCTAAAGGTTTTTATATTTGTTTATTAAACGAAAGAAAGAAAATATTTTTCAATTCGTATATACAGAGTGCGCTATAAATATCATTACGATAAAAAATTGAAAAATTTTAGCATCAGTTCAATCAAATGGGTTGATTGTTTTTGGTTACTGTGTTACAAAAACAATTTAACCTATAATCAAGTAATAAAAAAATACAAGTGTAACATTTTGTAGATAATTTTCAATTCTCATCTAAGAGAAAAATGATAAGAAATTAAAACGAACTATATAAATAATACTATATTGATACACATCGAGCAAATTTTCGGAACTAGTTAAAAGTCAACGGTTTCAAAATTTCCAAATTTCAAACGAGAAACATTGATTTTCGCAAGAAAGTTGATATCCATAGACTTGCAATAGTGTATTTTATTTATGGGGCAAAAATTTCAGCATTTAAACTAACTAGTTTTGAAAACTTGTTCTGTGTACATTAATATAGGATCATTATTAAAGTTTGTTTTAATTTTTTACTATTATTCTCTTCGATGACAACTGAAAATTATCTATAAAACGCTACACTTGTATTTTTTTTGTTACTTGATTATAGGTAAAATTTCTTTAGTGACACCGAAAATATAACGTGACACCAGTATGAAAAAAAGAAACTTTAAACTAGTTTCTACCATTAATTAAACAATCAGTCCATTCAACCGAAATAAAGCGGCCCTATTTCAAGTTTTTAGTATAGTGCTATTTATGATCTATTTTGTATATCAATTCATATAGTT